CGCTCTGCCTTTGCCTCGGTGTGGTGGGGGAGGCTGGGGCTCGGCCGGCACGTCCCCCGCCTGCCCCTCTCCCCGCCGTAGCCCTGGCGTCAGGGCTCTGCAGGCAGGCAGAGGCGTCGGGGCCGGGGGAGGATGGGCGCACGGCTGGGGATGGGACGGGGCAGAGCTAGGAGAAGTCTTGCTCTGTTTCTTGTACCTTTTGGTTTCCCGTGGCCCGAACCACGGGTCCGCCAGTGGTGCACCGTGGGTGCGAGCGCCGCCCCGACATCCCCGCTCTTTGCCGTCTCCGTGCCGGCTGGCAGGCGGCCGCGCTCCCCTCGGGGCCGGATTGCCACGGGGCGCACCAGGCTGGGCACCGCTCTGTCCCAGCTGCGTGGGCGCCTGCCCTGCACCCCGCAAATACCGCCGGCTCGGGAGGAAAGGTTTCCTTAGCTGTTAATTGAATTACATTGCCACAGAAAGCTGAGAAGTCGTAGCTCATTAGAGCCTCTTGTGTCCCATTATAACAGTGTGTGTTGCCTTTGCGGATTGTCATTATCATATATTACTGCGGGACTCAGCAGTGCTGTTTGTTTATGCATTACATTTTTTTCTGCTTACCCAGGCTGCCCTCGCCCCCCCAGCCCGTTTCTCCTGCGCAGTGCACGCCGCGGCCGGCTCGCGCGGCACCGGGGTGGCGCGAGGGCTTGGCTCTCGGAGCGGCGAGGCTGCTGGGGAAGGAGCCCGGACGGGGCTCGTTACGGCAACCCCTGGCAGCAAGGAGAAGCGTTTCGGCAGAGGCTGCTGTGGCGCAGGGGGACGGGCAGGAGGAAGCTGAGCCTGGCGCTGGCTGGCGTGCTGGTCCTCCTCTTCGGCGGTGCCGCCGCCAGGCCAGTGGCCGAAGCGCACGGACGGGAGGCGGCAGCTTTGTGCCAGGGCTGCGGGCACTCGCCAGCAGCAAGAGGGACTGCTCGTACCGTCCCGAGGGCCATCCCTGACCGTGCTGCAGCCGCCGCTCGGGCAGCGCCGGGATGTGCCCAGGCTGGGTGCTGAGCCCGGTTGGGCGGTGAGTGCGGCGTGGGGCACCGTCCTTGTTTGCATATTGGGGTGGCTATGGACAAAAAATATAGCTCTGGCATCTGCAATGCAAAGGCGGCCTTGCTGATGTGAAATCGCACTCTATATTCTGCCCAGGTTTATACGAGTGAATTATGCAAATCTGTGATGGAAAACATTCTTCCTCTCATCCTCGGGAGTGTAAAACCTTAGTCAATAATTCATACCCGCACGTCTCAGACTGGAGGCTTTCTCTTCATTATAGTGTGCGCTTGGTTATTTGTCTTTCAGGTTTTATTGTCTACCCCGGTGTAATGCTATGCATTATAAAATTTATCTGCTTCATTATTTTATGATCCTGAGCTGTATAATGCAGCGAGACGATTCTGCTTTGGGCTGCGTGGCCTCTCGGTGAGACCCGCATCCGCCGCCTCCCCGGCGGGGCCTGTGGGCTGTGCCGGGGCCAGGCAGCCGCAGGTGGCACCGAGCCGTCCCCCGGGCGCACGGGTGACGCCCTGCCTCCCCGCAGTCCCGGCCATGATCACCTCCCACCCCAACACCACGATCGCCATCAAGGGGCAGACCAAGGAGCTGAACTGCACCGCCCGGGGCGAGCGGCCCATCATCATCCGCTGGGAGAAGGGCGACACCGTCATCGATCCCGACCGCAACATGCGCTACGCCATCACCACCAAGGACAACGGCGACGAGGTCATCTCCACCCTCAAGGTGAGGGGCCGGGGGTCTTGCTCGGGTGATGGAGAGGGGCAGGCGGCGCAGAGGGTGCCCGGGGAGGGGGTCGGTGGTCCCCGGCGGGTGTCGCGGAGGCTGGCATCGCGGCTGGGCTGCCAGGGTGGCGAAATCGAGTCCAGCAGGGAGGGAGGTTAGGAAACCCGCCGGAGGGATTGCGTCTCCAGCCAGCGGCGGCATGCACCGGCTGCGTCTCCCCCGGCCCCAGCACGCTGCGGTGCAGCCAGGCGAAGCGCCTGACCAGCGCCTGGGCTTTTACAACCAGCGTGAGAGTGAGCGCTGCCCTGGGCTGGCGCGGGGAGCCGGCCTTCCAGTTTTAATTACACCCATTCAAAACCAGCCACCGTCTGCTTGCTCTGACAAGCCCCTGGATTTCACACTACGCCTCGGCTGCCTGTACAACGGGCTCTGTTTGCGAAGGTGTTTTGCAGCACCAGGGACATCTCGGAGCAGATTTTCAGCGCAGATCTGAGCCAGGGGACTGGGCGTTTGGAGGGTGACCTGCCTCCGCAGGCACGGCTCCTGCCGGGGGGCCAGTGGTGGGAGCAGGCTGCGATACCGGGGAAAGGCGGGGGCACGGTGCTCGGGGCAGCTCAGTCTGAATTGGTTCCTCTTCTCTCCCTGAAATGTTCATAGCTGAAACCAGCCGACCGCGGGGACTCGGTTTTCTTCTCCTGTCATGCCATCAACTCTTATGGCGAGGACAGAGGCTTGATCCAGCTCACCGTCCAAGGTACTCGTTCCCCGCACACGAGCCCTGGGGTACGAAGCCTTGCCACGAGGATCCCCCTGCTCCCGGGGGGCTTCTCTCCCTGTCATCCCTAACCTGCCTGTGTCTCCCCAAGAGCCCCCGGACCCGCCAGAGCTGGAGATTCGCGAGGTGAAAGCCCGGAGTATGAATTTGCGGTGGACGCAGCGGTTTGATGGCAACAGCATCATCACTGGGCCGGCCTCGGCCCCTGGCAAGCGGCAGGGCTGGGGGCCGTGCCACGGCCGCTGCGTCCCGGGGCTGGGCTGCGCGGGCAGGTGCGGGGCTGCCCAGCCCGCCCCTCTTGGGGCTGCCCGGCCGGCCCCTCCAAGGGAACATTCTGCATCCCGGGTCCTTTGATGAAGAAAGGAGAGAGCAGCATTAATGAAATATGTTAATTTCCGTTGGATGGGAGCATTTGAAAGGGAATATTAAAGGAGCTGATAGTTGCGAGAAGCCAAAGCCAGGCTGCGCAACAGCGAGGAGAGGGGAAGCAGCACTTTTCCGTGGGGGCCGGGGACAAAAGCCAGAGGCGCTTGGGGGCTTCACCTGCCCAAGCACGGCCCTCTCGGTACCACAGGATTCGGGTGCTGACCCTCCTCCTGTCTCACTCCGCTGCTTTTCCAGATTCCTGGGATTTTAAGCAGTCTACGCGCAACATCTCGCCGACCATCAACCAGGCGAACATCGTGGACCTCCACCCAGCCTCCGTGTACAGCATCCGCATGTACTCCTTCAACAAGATCGGGCGCAGCGAGCCGAGCAAGGAGCTCACCATCAGCACAGAGGAAGCAGGTGCCGCTTGCGGCGCGTGTGCTGGGGCCGGCGGGCAGGGGTGGCCACGGGCAGCGCGGGGGCTGCAGCCTTGAGCGAAGCTGGCTGCGGCAGCGCTCTCTGGAAGCCGAGTCTTTTCCTGACGAGGAGGTCCTTTCCCTGATGCTTCGCCACATGCTCTTTCGGGTCTGTTTCTCCGCAGCTCCCGACGGGCCTCCGATGGATGTCACCTTGCAGCCGATGACATCCCAGAGCATCCAGGTCACTTGGAAGGTGAGTGGGGCCGGGGTGGCGCGTGGGCTTTCCCTGGCCGCAGGGGCCCTGGCAGCGCCAAACGCCGTCCCGAGCCTTTGCGGCAGCAGCTTGTCCTGGGACCTGGAGTTTTGTCAGCGGTACGAGGGCCGGGAAGGATTTCCCGGGCAATATGAAAGCCTGAAGGCTGGGCGTGAGGCTCGGCCGCATCGCACGGGGTCCTTATTAATCATGTTTTATAACAAGCTCATCATCTGATAGGATGTCTGTGGGAGGCCACGGGGAGAGAGAGGATAGATATGTAAAAACTGCGATGCTGGGTTGCAGAGCGTTGCAGCAAAGATCGATAAAACTTAGAATCGGATTTATTTTTCCAAAGGTGCGTAATGAAAAATAAAATCGATTATAAAGTTAGGACTTTGGAATGAACTCGTAAGTCAATAAAGTGAGGGTTCCAGCTTCTCCCCCCTCCCCTGCTGAAAAACAGATTAATGGAAAATAAGATTCACTTGAAAGATAAGTCACTTTGTTTTAAGAGTATTTCAGTGAGATGGATCGTCCTGGCTTTGTAACAGAAATTTGCAATCAACCCTATCGATTCCTTAGTGTCTCAGAGAAATATTGTTAAGATTGATCTCGGCCCGGCCTTGTGCATTTTCAAGGCTGTCAGACTTGGGGTTTTTCCCTCCTCTCGTTGAGCGGCTCCGGTCGGGGAATGGCTCTGGCTGAGCATGTCCCGCTGCCCAGCCAGCGCCTTCCTCTCTGGCAGCCTCCGAGGACCCGCTGGACCTTTTTTATCGCTATTCTGCCCCTCAGTACGTCCACCCGAGCGCTGCCGCTTAAAAGCATTGGGAAAAGGTGCTGGGGAGAGGTGGTCGCGGCAAGGGAGCCCCGCGAGCCTCCCGGCCCCGGGCCGTGCTTGCTGGGCAGCGTAGCCCTGCGTGACGCCGCTCCATCTCGCACCCCCCGTTCCTCAGGCCCCGAAGAAGGAGCTGCAGAACGGGGTGATCCGTGGCTACCAGATTGGGTACCGGGAGAACAGCCCGGGCAGCAACGGGCAGTACAGCATCGTGGAGATGAAAGCCACGGGAGACGGCGAGGTCTACACGCTGGACAACCTGAAGAAGTTTGCCCAGTACGGGGTGGTGGTGCAGGCGTTCAACCGGGCAGGGACGGGGCCGTCGTCCAGCGAGATCAACGCCACCACGCTGGAGGATGGTAAGGCCGTCCCGGCCCCCGCCGGGGGTCCTCCCGCCTGGGGGACTCCCAACCCTTCCGCCCTCGGCCGCTCCCTGCCCTGTCCCGAGCGGGTCTTGGGGCGGGGGGGGCCCCCTGG